TTTTCTAATGAGTGGCCACTTTGCCAAGCCCACATTCTCACCCATGCCCTGGAGCTCGAGGTCCAGGAGACGTTGATCTGCCGGTGCTTGGCAGACGGTTCCCACCAATGGCCAGGGTCCCCTTCATGACTGAGGCACGGGCGGGCTGCAGGGGCTTCAGCTTATACTTTGACACTTGGATGTGGGGCACTGTGACCCATTGTCCACTTTCTACTCTCCACATCCACTTAGCCCTTTTGGTCTAATTTCCTCACTCCTCTTGCCTCTCCCTTTCCAGCGACCACATGTTTTTTTCTGTTTTGTTTGTTTTGGGGCCAGACCCAGTGATGCTCAAGACTGACTCCTGGCTCTATGCTCAGGGATCTCTCCTGTCAGGCTCGGGGGACTACATGGGATGCCGGAGATTGAACCCAGATGGGCCATGTGCAAGGCCAGCGCCCTCCTCACTGTACTTTCTATCCGGTCCCATGTTTATTCTTTTTTTTTTTTAATTTTTATTAGTGAAACACCATGAGGTACAGTTGTAGACTTACACATTTTTGTGCTTGGGTTTCAGCTATACAATGATCGAGTACCCATCCCTCCACCAGTGCCCATTCTCCACCACCACGGATCCCAGTATCCCTCCCAACCCCCATCACCCCCATCCCACCCTGCCTCTGTGGCAGGGCATTCCCTTTTGTTTTCTCTCTCCTTTTGGGTGCCGTGGTTTGCAAAAGAGGCACTGAGTGGCAATCATGTTCAGTCTATAGTCTAAAATCGGCCCCCTTTTTTTTTTTGTTTTTGGGACACACGCAGCAGTGCTCAGGGATTACTCCTGGCTCTGCACTCAGGGCTCACACCTGACAGGGCTCAGAGGATCATACAGGATGCCAGGGATTGAACCTGGGTCTGCCACATGCAAGGCAGCACCCTTCCCGATGGACTATCTCTGGCTCTGCCAATTGTTAACTATTGTTGGACATGTGAGCGAGTGAGTGAGTGAGTGAGTGTGTGAGTGTGTGTGTGTGTGTGTGTGTGTGTGTGTCCTGTTGGGTTGCATGGTTGAATTATACAAGTTGGGTGTTAACCCCTTGTTGGAGATTTGAGTTGCAAATGTCTCTCCCACCCTGCACATGCCTTTCAGTTTCTGGATGGTGTCTTTGTGATACAAAAGTATTTTAGTTGGGGGACCAGAATGATAGTACAGCCTTTCCCTCACATGTGGCCGACCTGGGTTCATTCCTGTAGGGTCCCCCAAGCACTTTCAGGAGTGATTCCTGAGTGGAGAGCCAGGAGCAAACCCTGAGCATCACTGGGTGTGACCCCAACAACAACAACAAAAAAAAGAGGAGCACTTTAGATGGATGTTGTCCCACTATTTTTTTTCTTTCCTTCCCTTTACCCTGGGAATCAGTTCTTCCAGTGAATACCGTTTGATTATTGCAAAATTTTAGCTTAGATTCAAACTTTATTCAGCTAGGTAAACCTCTGGATAGCTTTAATTAGATATCATAAATATTATTGAAGATGCATTTAATTTATACTAATAACTGCCAGGAGTAATTTCTGAGTGCAGAGCCAGGAGTTACCCCTGAGCATCACAGGTACGACTCCCCCAAATAAAAAACAAACAAACAAAACCCCACCAAAATAAAGAGACCTAATCAAGAAAGGGACTGGAGTGATAGCATAGCGGTAAGGCGTTTGCCTTGCATGCAGCCAACATGGCCGACCCGAGTTCGATTCCTCCGCCCCTCTCGGAGAGCCCGGCAAGCTACCGAGAGTATCTCGCCTGCACGACAGAGCCTGGCGAGCTTCCCATGACATATTCGATATGCCAGACACAGTAACAACAAAATCTCCAATGGAGACGTTACTGGGCCCGCTGAGGAAATCGATGATCAACGGGAGGGCCTTTACTTTACTTACTTACTTTTAATCAAGAAAGAGAAGGGAATAAAAGAACTGCCCAGCTCAGCATCATGGAATGTATTGGATGCTGGATACCACATTCCACAGCTCCCCCCCCAGCCCCCAAGAGCGCTGCTGAGTGCCACTGGGAAGGACCCCAGGCCACAAAACAAAACAAACCCAAGATCTACATTTTGTTCTTTAAAAGAAATGACAAGATCATGCCTTAACCTCCTTATAGCAACAACTTAGAAAATGTGAAATAAATGAAAGATGGCCTAGAAATCGAAGACCTCATCAAAAATGGGACAAGGAGGAGGAAGAACAAGACTGGAAAATAATCACAAGTATGTTTAAAGATTTACTCCTTTATAGGGCCGCAGGGCTACGGCTGAGATCCGTCTGGCTTTTAGAGAAAAAACAGTCTCTGCTAAATTATTCAGACCAAGCAGAAACCAGGCGTCTACGTATACGCTTAAGTCACGACCATCATCTCGGTGCTGACTCTGCAGTTCAGCCCCGGGGAGGTTCTCGTTCTGAGCGAGGCATCTGCGCCCTCAGACGCATCCGAGGCAACCACAGGCTCGATTCCAGGAACGCTGCCTGTTCCAGCACAGGAAGTTTGTCAGCAGAACTCAGCCTCCGACAGATATATGGTACTAAGGAGGCCCTCACCGAATCAGCAACTGTTCCTGAAAGAAGACTAAGGTGTCATCCAAAACTCTGGCTCGGAACGCTCTCGGAAAGTGCTCTGCTGCTTACGGTCTTGGCGTGACGTTTCATTTGACGCCAAACTTGACCCAGGGTGCCACGAGAAAGCTGAAGACAAGGTGGATTGTTGTTTCTGTTTTCCGTTTTCCCTTCAGCTGAGGGCCATCCGTGGCAAGGCCTAAGGGGATGCTAGGGACAGAATCTGGGGCGTCCCCATGCAAGGCACGTGCTCTGATAGGGTCATTCCTCACACACAGAAAGCACGTGAGTGAGATGCACTCAGAAACCACTGGTCCATAGTTCGCCCCTGGCTTTCTGTCTGGCATTTGGAATCGCTGAGTGAGGTAGAGTGATCGGGGCACTCTCCAGGGGAGAGTGCTTGGCCCAGACATTGGGGGACCCTCTGATAAGATCGTCATCTAATTTTGCCTTATTCTGCCGTGCTCAAGAGATTTTGCAAAATTTCAATATTTCGAAAAGTGTCGAAGCGTATTGATTGTCCAGTGTGTGGTCCGTGGGTAGTTCAAAGATAGAGCCAGCCAGGAAGATGACAGGGACGGATGTCTGCTCTGCACGTGGGGACCAGGCGGGCACAGACACCATAGTGTCAACTAAGCCCAGATACCATAAGGCCATAAGGACCCCCAAGCACCAAACCAGGAATGTGTCCTGCGCACCACCAGGAAATCCAAACACAAAAACAAAATAAGGAGGCAGAGCAATAGTATAGTGGGGAGGGAGTTTGCCTTGCATGGAGCCGACCTGGGTTCGATTCCCAGTATCCCATATGGTCCCCCAAGCACCGCCAGGAGTAATTCCTGAGTGCAGAGCCAGGTGTAACCCAGAAAGCAAGAAAACAAAGCAAGCAAACAAACAAACAAAAAGGCAAAATAAAACCAGAGTCAGCCAGAGTGATGTACATGGGGAACATGCACGCCAGGACCAGAGCAACCAAACGAAAGACTGGGACAGGTTTTCTTTTGTTTGGGGACCATAGCCAGAGGTGTTCAGAACTGACTCCTGGCTCTGTGCTCGGGGTCACTCTGCGGTGCTGGAGATTGACCCACCTAGAAGTGACCACAAGGCAGGCGCCCTTCCACTATTCTCTCTCTCTCTCTCTCTCTCTCTCTCTCTGGAGCCATCTCTCCAGTTAAAAATCCCCTGTCGTCTTCTCACCAGTTTAAACAAATCAATGAAATCATACTGAGAACAGAAGAATTCCTTAGATGCATAAAGGTTTCATTTACATTATTAAAAACTTTGGTATAGTGCTAGTTTTAATCTTTCCCATTGGCCTCAATGTAACTAAAATTAAACAACAACAAAAAATTTTGCAAATCTATACATTTTAAGCATATCATTAAAGTAATAAACTAGAGCGAATTTTTTAGTGGATAATTTGGACTTGAATTATAATTGCAGTTGACTGGGCAATCTAAATATCTAGAATAAATTGCATCTTGTTAAAAAAATAGTTGGAGTGATAGCACAGCGGGTAGGACATTTGCCTTGCACATGGCTGACCTGGTTTCGATTCCTCCATCCCTCTCGGAGAGCCTGGCAAGCTACCGAGAGTATCCCGCCCTCATGGCAGAGCCTGGCAAGCTCCCCGTGGCGTATTCAAAATGCCAAAAACAGTAGCAACAAGTCTCACAATGGAGACGTTACTGGTGCCTGCTCGAGCAAATTATGAACAATGGGAGGACAGTGCAGTGTTACAGTGCTAAAACAAAACTAAACTAAACAAAAAACTCTGTATCCAGAGGTGTGGGAACAGTGCACGTTGCTTACGCAAAACTGAGTTGAGATGGGCAGTTTCATTTTTGTCTGTCTCCTTTGAGGCTCGATTCTCTGGCCCTTCCACATTCTAGAGCTTTGCTACTGGGAGTGCACAGCGAATATTGCTCTGCCCCCTTGACACACGTACGAGCAAGGGTGCCCTTCGGTCGTGGAGATTCCCCCTCAGCAGGCCGAATTTATTCCACTAAAAGGACAAGCCGCTGCCGTGGCCATGTGTTGACCCTCCTCAGTGGCCAGACACAGATGTGTAAGCACTGGCTGGGGTGAGAGTCAGGCTCAGCTCGGGACAGCCCAGGAAGCCGACTGGCGGAGCCCTGCCCGGGGAGGGAAACACAGGCTGGCCCAGCCCCCATGTTCTGATGGGTTCTTCCTAGGACCCCCCCCCCACGGCCCTGCCAAGGTTCCTGGCCATTTCTGGGCCCTTTGGGAGCAGATGACCTGTCCTGCCCTTTCCCTGGCCGGGGCCCAGGGTGGAATAGCTGAGCCGCCCTCCCTCCCACCCCCCTGTGCTGGGTTCCTCGGCCCCGGACCCTCCTCCCTGCTGGGCCATGGAGAGGATCCAGGGACCTCTTAAGCCCCACATCTGCGCCCACAGGATGGGGGTGGTGAGCAGCAGGAAGCAGACCAAGGACTGGGGGATCCCCCTGAAGCTCAGAGCCCAGAACCAAGGCCCTCCGCCCCTGCCGCCCCTGGTGAGTGCTATGTCCTGGGGGGCCTGTTCCCAGTCACGTCCTGTGGGGCCTCAGGGTACCCCAGGGGCCCTGCCCACTGCCCCCAGTCACGTCCCAGGGGTCCGGTCCCCAGTGCTCTCCAGGTGGGGTGGGTTCCATGCAGCTGTGTGTTTGGCCCAGACCGTTCTGTTCCGCCAGGCCAGATAATGCCCTTGGCCCAGTGGCTACTCCGTGCACTGGGCAGAGCGAGGGAGCATGCGCTCACGTGGACAGTCTGAGGAGCTGTCCACGCCCTGGCCCGCTGCCCCCCTGATTCTGAGCTCCAGGGCCCAAGGGCAGCCTGGGGGGGAGAAGGCCAGGCACTGGGCCTGAGGGGCGGCACCAGGGGGCCTGGGGGGGTCTCTGTCCTCTGTGGGGAGGCGCCCTGGGGCCTAGGAGGCTCCCAGAACTGATCCCCCACCCCAGCTGCGCCCCCAGCTGCCCGCCCATCCAACTGCCCATTTGCATGGAGCAGATACTCTCGTCCTGCTGCTGGGAGACCCCAGCCCCGCCTGGTGTGCAGCTGCCCCTCGTGGACACGCAGGCTCTCGCTCTAGCTGGGCCTGGGGTCTGGGCCTCCTGGGCCGCAGGGCAAGCGCCTGGTGCAGTCCCTCGTGTCTCCCAGCTCACCCCAGGGAGGGTCGGACTGGGTGATGGGGGAGCAGTGCCCACAGTGACTTCCTGCAGGACGCACACCCCTGGCCGTCTGTCTTTGGGCAGCCGGAGGCCTGGCCACACTTCCCAGCCCTGTCCACGGTGGGGAGAAACTGCCCGCAGGCACCCCAAATGTCCCTCCATGAGGAACTAATCAGTGTGTGTGTGTGTCTGTGTGTGCATGTATGTATATGCGCGTGCATGTGCATGGCATGTGTGCATGCATGTGTGTATGTGTGTGCGTGTGTGCACGTGTGTGCATGTGCATGCATGTGTGTGTCCACTGCAGGTCCTGTTCGACCACCTGGACCCTGCGCCCCCTGACCCGGATCAGGGTAAGGAGGGCCCCTGGGGAAGCCGAGACCCGCTCCCACCACCCATCCCTGCAGTTGGCACGGGTCCCAGGAGCAGCTCTGCCCATGGTACCCTTCCCCTGCTCCCACCAGGAACCAAGCACAGCACCCTCGGAGCCCCTGAGTCTGGGGTGTGTGGCCCGGGGACTCTCACCCCTGAAATGCCTGCACTCCCACTCTCTCCCCATGGCCCAGCCCTGCCCTGGTCTCACTCCCTTGGGTGGGCGCAGGCCAGGGTGGAGTGGGGTGGGGGTGTGCAGCCAGTGGTCTTCCCCCCTGCGGCAGGGGGGTGGGGCTTGAGGTCCTGCCCTGAACCCTCCACACGGTGCCCGGCCTGGGACTCGACTCAGCTCTTTGTCCACACCAGGTGCGGGCACCCCACGTCGTCACGGATGGGGGGGACGGGAGGAGTGAGAGGGTCCCCGCCCCAAGAAGCCCGCGTCTGGTCTGTCAGGCTCAGGAGCAGGCCTGGGGACCCCACCCCCAGTTTCTTCCCCCGGGGACCTGCCCTGGGGGCGAGGCTAGGGTCTCCCAGATGTGAGCAACGGGGCCCCGTGACCCTGCTCCAGCTCTGGGCCCCCAGAGTTGGGCCTTCTGGAAGCCACACCGGGTCCCTGCCCCACCCAGAGGCCACAGCCGCTGCATCCTCCCCTGGAGCAGGGGGGAGGGAGGAGGGGCCCGGAGGAGGCTGGGCCCAGGGCAGAGGTGGAGCACGGGGGGGGGGGGGGGGGGGGGGTGCTGGGCTCCTGGTGACCTGGAATTGACCAGCCTTGAGGCTGCTCTGTGGGCGCAGGGGAGTGGGGTGCGGGTGGCTCTACGGGGCCAGACCCTGCCGCGTGGCACTTCCCCTCCTTGGCCTCCTGACCCCCACGCCTGACCCGGGCCAGGAGAGGCCAGAAGGCTCCAGGCCTGCCCCTTCCCTTCCCTGCCTTCCTCTCCCCTCTCTCCCCCCTCCCCTCCCCTCTCTCCCCCTGCCCTGCCCAGCGCCCTGCCTCTCTCTGTGCCCAGGGGAGTGCTTCGCCGTTGCCCTGTACGATCACTCAGCCCGCACTGCCCAGGACCTGCAGCTGCGGAAGGGGGAGAAGCTGCAGATCCTCAGCCAGTGAGTTCCGGGGCAGAGGTCGCATGGGGTCCCCTTGCCTCACCCCTCCATGGCGGCTACAGCATCTCTTTGCCCTCATCCCCTCACCCCTTTCCGTCCACCTGCCTGCCCGGGAGCCAGTTTCCTTGACTGACTCATGCCTCACCACTGCTGGACTCCTATTCGTCCCTCAGAACCCACCCCCCGGGTCAGGGAGAGAGACAGAGACAGGGAGAGAGAAAGACAGAGACAGAGAGACAGAGAAGCAGACAGAGAGATAGAGCACTGTGGGCTGAGTACGTGACTTTTGTGCACCAGTCCCATGGGTGCTACGATCCCTGGAACTGTAGAGTCCCCTGAGCACCTTGGAAGCGACCCTCTGAGCACAGAGACGGGAGTAGTCCATGAGCACTGCTGGGTGCAGCCCCCCCGACAAAAACAAAGAAACAGCAACAACAAACAACGGCCTGCCCTGGAAGTAGCATCCTGCCTCCTCCAGGCAGCCGCCCTGCCTGTTCCCTGCATGTTTGTGCTGAAACCCTCATGGCACCTCCTCCTCCAGGCAGCTCTATGCCCAGAGTCCCTCGTGTTCTGATAGCAGGACCTTCCCTGGGGTTCTGCCCTGACCCTGTCCCTGCCCAGGGTCCAGCCCACCCCTGGTGCCGCTCTGCGTGGATGCGTCCTACCTCCCCTCACTCCTCAGTTTGACACACAGTCCCATGGTGGGGGGGGGGGCTGTGGGCCCCCTGCACCTCCTCCCCGAGCCGCACCCCTCTGGGCCCGGAATCTGGCCAGCTGGAAGGAGCCCAGGGGGCCTGCACAGAGGGAAATGCCCCCGTGTCCTGGCCCCGCTTGTTCGGGGCAGCAGGCCTGTGCGCCCCAGTTCACTCTCCTGCCCCCAGGGTTGGAGCCTGGCAGCGAGCCCGGTCCCTGGTCACGGGCAGGGAAGGCCTGGTGCCCGGCAATTTCGTGGCCCCACTGGATGCCCTGGAAGTGGAACCGTAGGTGGGGGCCCCGGGCCAGCAGCCCACAGACTGGCGGGCAGGGGGGAGGGTCCGGCTCCCACCCATATCCCCGCCCTGGACCCTGTGTCCCCACCCCCAGACACACACAAATACACACACATCCCATAAACACACACCATACACTCATACACGTGCACACACACACATACACATACCATACACACACCATACACACACACCGTACATACACACCATACACACACATACCATACACCGTACACACACACCATACACACACACACACACACACATACACCACACACCATACACACCATACGCACACCGGTGACACACATACACTGCATATACACCATACACACACACACGCACACATACATACACAAACACACACACACACCACACACACACAGCAGGCCCGTTGGGCCTCGGGGCCCCGTCCTGCACTCACCTTGGGGTGATGCATCCACAGGGAAGGGGGCGTTGAGAGATGGAAAGGTGGGTTGGTGGGTGCTGAGCCCCCAGCCCTCTCACCCTGCTGGCAATTCTTTCACCCAGCGGCACTGGCCACTCTCTGGACAGTGATTCTCCACTGCCCTCTGGTGTCCCTCCCCAGTGTGGGGAACGTCAGTGTCCACACTCCTGTCCCCAGCCCCACAGCCCTTGGGAGGGGGAGGACCTGTCCGTCTGTCCGGGAGGGGCCAGGAAAGGTGCCAGAGTGGGCAGGAGCCTTCGGGGCTCCTGGGGGTGGGGTGGGGGGCACGAGGACCATGACAGCCCTGCTCAGGGGTCCGCCCCCTTTCCAGATGGTTCTTTCCAAGCATTTGCCGCAAGGAGGCTGAGAGGCAGCTGTTAGCGCCCGGCAACAAGGCGGGCGCCTTCCTGGTCCGCCAGAGCCAGACCAGCAGAGGTGAGCGCCCCCTGCTGGGGGGACCTGCGGATGCTGAGATGTTTGCGGGTGCTGCTCCCCCAGACCAGCAGAGGCAAGGGCAGAAAAGGGCCCCTAGCTGGAGCTGTTGGGACTCAGATGACCTTTGGGGTCATTGCAGCCAAGCCCAGGACCTCAGGGGCTTCCCGGGGTACACATTAACTCCATGTGAGGTGATCTGGCTGCAGGGTTGAAAAGATGGATGGATGGATGGATGGATGGTTGGATGGATGGATGGATGGATGGAGGGATGGAAGGAGGGATGAAAGGAGAAATGGATGGAAGGAGAGATAGATGGAAGGAGGGTTGAATGGAAGGAGGAATGGATAGAAGGAGGGATGTTGGGATGGAGGGATGATGGATAGATGGATGGGTAGAGAGATAAATATGTAGGTGGGTAGATGGGTGGATGGATGGGTGGATGGGTGGATGGATGATAGGTGGATGGGTGAGTGTATGGAATGGTGGGTGGGTGGTAGGTGTATGGGAGGGTAGATATGTGGATGGGTGGGTGGGTATGCAGGAGGGTGGGTGGATGTGAGGAGTGTGGATGCTGGGTAGATGAATGATGTGTGGTTGGATCTTCTCGTCCCTCCAACCTCATCGTTTCAAGAGTCTGGCAGAGGGTCCCTGAGGGGCCAGGCGCCCAAGTGTGGGGTGAGTGTTGATGGCCAGGAGGATCTCGGTCTGCTGCAGCGTCCTGTGTCTCTGGCTGTTGGGGGGACTCGGGAGGGCACCAGTGCCAGTGTGGACAGACCCAGGAGTGAGGCTTCCAGATTTCATCCTGCTATGAAGGACAAGGTGCTCACTGGGCACTTCTTTCTGAGCCCCCGGGTATCTCCTGGCCCCACTGGTCCTGTCTGACGGTGCCTGTCGCTGCAGGCGCCTTTGCTCTGTCCGTGAAGGATGTGACCACCCAGGGGGAGGTGATCAAGCACTACAGGATCCACTCCCTGGACGAGGGCGGCTACTGCATCTCTCCGCAGACGCCCCTCCCCACACTCCAGGCTCTGGTGCAGCATTACTCCAGTAAGAGGGCTGGGGGTGGGGGGCACACGCGAGGGGTGCAGGGCATGGGGTGTGGCTGTGGGGTGCAGGGCGCCAAACTCGGGGCACCGAGCTGCAGGGGGTGGCTCCTCCTTACCAGGACCCTGAGGTGCGTGAATCCTCGGGGCTCTGCTGGGGTCAGGGACCCTCCTGGCTGGGCATAAAGATTTGGCAACTGTCCACCTGATGGTTCCAAGGGCTCAGCCCTCTCCCCTGGGTCACGTGTGGCCAGTTGGGGGCTTACACGGGTTTTGGTGAAGCAAGTTGGTGAGAATGAGACCTGCTGTGTGCAAACAAGCTCATGGCACGAATCCGTGTGTGTGTGTGCACACATGTGTGAGTGTGCCTATGTGAATGTGTGCATGTATAAGTGTGTGCATGTGTGCGTGCATGTGTATATGTGAGTGTGAGCACGTATGAGTGTGTGCATGTGTGTGCGTGCATGTGGATGTGTGTAGATGAATGTGTGCATATGAGTGTGTACAGTGTGTACCTGTATGTGTGTGTGCGTGTTTGTATGTATGAGTGTGTATGTATGCGCATATTTGTGTATGTATGAGTGTGCGTGTGCATGTGTGCATGTATGAGTGCATCCCTGTGTGTCCGTGTGCATGTGGGATGGGGACTCTGCAGGAATGCTGTCCCTCGCTGCCCTGGTCACCTGCTGCCTTTCTCCCCGATGCAGAGAAAGGGGAGGGGCTGTGCCGACGGTTGGCCCAGCCCTGCATGAGGCCGGCACCTCAGGACCCCTGGGCCCAGGACGAGTGGGAGGTCCCCCGGCAAGCCATCAGGCTGGTCCGGAAGCTGGGGGCCGGGCAGTTTGGTGAAGTCTGGATGGGTGAGTGTGGGCCCCCCTCCCCGGGTCCCTGGCACTGAGCAGCTCTGGGTGTAGCCCTAAGTCTAAGCAGAGCCACTGGGGCCACAGTGCAGGGGCCGCCTGGCTCCCTGCCCTGCCCTGGGCATCCCCGCAGGGCACCAGGGGACCCCAAGATATCTCATTCCCAGGGTGAAATGTCCTGGGGACAGGGGGTCCTGTGCATCCTGGAGGGTCTCCTCTTTACTCACAGCCCAGGATGTGACTGAAGGTGTCGTGCTGACCCTCTGCTCTGGCTCTGGATGGACATGGGGTGGGGAGCTTCTGCTGCAGCTCCAGGTGCCAGGTGCCAAGGGGGCTGAGGGATAGTGGTGGTCGGTCAGAAGGACCAAGAGCTGCTGCCCAGACTCCAGACGGGGTGCACAGAGGGAGGCAAAGGGTCCCTCCAGCTTCCTCAGGGCCCAGCCCAGTGTGGGGGTCAAGCACACCAGGAGCTGACCTAGAGCCTTCCAAGAGCTTCTTTGGCTCCATCACAGCCCTGCCTCTGCCTGCTCAGGCTACTACAAACAGAGAGTGAAGGTGGCCGTGAAGACTCTGAAGGCTGGGACCATGTCCCCGGAGGCCTTCCTGGAGGAGGCAAACGTGATGAAGATGCTACGGCACGAGCGGCTGGTCCGCCTCTACGCCGTGGTCACCAAGGAGCCCATCTACATCGTCACCGAGTACATGGCCCGAGGTGCGTCACAGGCTGGGCCTCAAGCAGGGCCCCACTGCTGCCCCACTGGGCCCTTGTCATTGAGACCCCCAGGCCTGTTTAAGTCCGGACCAGAGGCCGCCATATCCTGCACATCCAGAACACGAGCGAGCCAGGCCTGGAACCCTGCAGCAGCGGGCGGGGTCCACCCTGGGCTGATGTCCCCTGCTCAGGCACCTACTGTCATGCACTCTTGATCCATGTTCCCAGTGGGGTACCACAGGCCAGAGACCGCCCAACCCAGGTCCCCTGAGGCTCCCTCAGCCCCACCCCACCAGCGCCCATGGGACCCTCACCCCCAGCAGCAGGACCCAGAGAGAGACCCAGAGTGTGACCTTCTCCGCCCGCCTAGTCCTGCCCCTGTGGGCACAGCTCAGCTGCTGTGATGTTCCCCAGGGTCCCTGCTGGATTTCCTGAAGACCGATGAGGGCAGCCGCCTGGCCCTCCCCAGGCTCATCGACATGGCGGCCCAGGTGAGGGGCGGGGGCGGCTGAGGGGGGGGGCCCATGCCCTGCATGCTGTGACTTAGACGCAGTCACCTTGGAAAGGCTGCGGGGACAGCAAGGAAGAAGTCATGGCGGTTTAAACTTAGCACACATGCACATATGTGCATACACACGTATGCACACAAGCACAAGAACATGCATGCACACGCACACATGCACACACATGTAAGCACACATGCACACACATGTAAGCACACATGCACACACGCGCACACATGTACACGCACACACGAATGCACACACAGACACATGAACGTGCACACACACAGACACAGGCACGTACATATACACGTGAATGCACTCACACACACAGACACACTCATGCACGCACACACACACACACACATGAACTGGAATGATGGGTTAGCAGGAGGGGCACTTGCCTTGCATGTGTTGACCAGAGTTTAATCCCTGACACCCCATATGGTCCCCTGAGCCACGACAGGAGTGATCCCTGAGCACTGAGCCAGGAGTCAGCTCTGAGCACCAGGTGTGGCTCCAAACCAAACCCGAACAACAACCCCCACAAACACCCAGGCTGGGGAAGGGGGGTCTCACAGGGACGGTGCTGTGGGGCTGGCGCTGACCCAGTTCCCTCTGGAGCATTGCTGCTGGGTGTGGCCTAACCCCCACCCCACATGTTGGAAACACACAAACATTTGGGACCAGTGGGCACCGCCACACCATGGGACAAGGCACCTTCCGCCTGCCACGTCCCCGCTTGTCCCCATCCCACCCTTGTCTCCTTGCCCCCATGCCCAGGAAGAAAGAAGGGACACAAGTGCGGCCTCCTGCGGCCACCGGGGCCCTGGGCACAGGCCACACCCAGCCGCCGGGAATGGCGGGGACATAGCTGGACCGATAGTTGGGGGGCGGGACCCCCATATAGCCTCCCCGAGCCCATCCCTGACACTCCGCTGGGGCCACTGGGATTGGCCCCGGCTGGTGGCCGCCTCTGCCCCGAGGCCCCCTGCTGCTGTCACAGGCGGGACCATCCCACCTCTTGGGCGGGTCCTTGGAGTGCTGGGCTCCCCACAGAACCTTCTAGAGTTCCTGGCAGCTTCTCTCCCTCCGGCCCATCTGCCACCGCTGGACGCAGCAGGAAGGCTGTGGTCTGTGGTCTGTGGCCGGCAGGACTGAGGCTGCGCCTGCGGGCAGCAGGAGCTTGGGGCCCCTCAGGTTTCCCCGAGGTGCACAGCAGGCTGGACGGCCCCGGGGACCCATGTCCACCTCACGGAGGCCAAGCCTGGTCCCCTGCCCCCGCTGCCTGTCTCTCTGCCCTCTCCTGTCCAACACGGCAGCCTCATCCCGGTGTCCTGGGAGCCAGGGACAGCCCACGCCAAAGCCCCCAAAGTGTTGGTCGGGGTGGGTCCCAGCCTGAGGTCAACGACTTGGAAACTCAGCTGTTGCCTGAGGGGGTGACCCCCTCCGCACGCCCGAGTCACACATGAGCTCATCCGCTCACATGCACACACACATGTGCACATGAGTTCACCCAGGCACATGCACACACACGTGCAAACACAAGCTCAACCACACACATGCACACACAAGTTCACCCACACACATGCACACACATGTGCACACATGAGCTCACCCACCCACGCGCACACACAGATTTGCATACACAAGCACATGCACAGACACACGTGCACACACAAGCACACATGTACACATACAAGCACACATGGATACATACAGGCACACATGTGCACACACATGCTTACACAGGCACACACGTGCACGCACAGGCACTCCTGCCTGGTTTGCTCAAATGGGGTGGTACAAGCCGCTGCCCCCTCCCTGCCCAGCTCCACTGAGCTCCCGGGCTGCAGCCTCACTGTGGCCTCCCGCCAGGTGGCAGAAGGCATGGCCTACATCGAGCGCATGAATTCCATCCACCGCGACCTGCGTGCCGCCAACGTCCTGGTGTCTGAGGCGCTGGCCTGCAAGGTGGCCGACTTCGGCCTGGCCCGGATCATCGACAACGAGTACACAGCCCGGGACGGTGAGTGAGCCCGGGGCCCACCGTTGTCCTGACCCCAAGGCCCTTCTCGCGTCTGCCGCGGGCGTGACTGTCACCCAGCGATATGGGGAACAGGAAGCCCCTCTTCCTGCCCGCCCTGGTTCTGGGAAACCGCGGCTTTAAGTGGAGCAACCGGAAGGAAGCGAGACGCCAGCAGCCCCTCGTTCATGGTCAGGCTCACCAGGACGCAGCCATGATCTGGGGTCACTGCCGAGTGAGCCCCCTGATTCCTAAAATGCAGGCCCTGAATCCTGCAGCAGAGAGCATCCCCCCACTGGAGTCCACTTCCTGTCAAGCCCTCGTTGACCCCAGAATGAGGGTGTCTGTGGAGAAACGCCCTATAAAGCTTGCACCCCACTCCCCACACCGGAGTTAGGGGCCCACGCTGCCAGGACCACCTGGGGGGAAGGTCTTCCCCCCCCCAGCTCCAGAAACCCATGACCTGTCCCCGCAGGGAACTTCGGAGCTGGAGAGACGCAGAGGGCTGGGGGCCCCAATCAGGGAGTTAGCCGTGAGGGGGACCAAGGCACGTCCCACCCCGCCAGCTCACCGGGCAGCAGGACAGGATCTTCCTCTGGCCCTGGACATCGACGGCCATGTCCCGTTTCCAGGCAGGGGCAAGCTATGACCCCATCAGTAACCAGGCAGCGGCCGGGGTGGGGCTCTCTGGGGGCCCATGTGGCAAGCCTCACCCCGCTGTCCCCCAGGAGCCAAGTTTCCCATCAAGTGGACAGCCCCTGAGGCCCTGCAATGGGGCGTGTTCTCTATCAAGGCTGACGTGTGGTCCTTCGGCATCCTCCTGATGGAGATCGTCACCCACGGGCGCGTCCCCTACCCAGGTAGGTGACGCCTCACACAGGGTCCCGCCAGCTCCCTGCTTCGCTGGGGTGTGCCCGGGGCACAGGCCCTTTCGTCGGGGCTGGGCTGTGCAGTGGGCAGAGACCCGCCCTCCCCGCACGACCCCGGGCAGGGAGCAGAGAGCCTGGCTGGGCCGCAGAGAAAGGGAGAGTGCCCACGTTTCCCAGCACTGCCGGGGGCCCTCCTGGGCACAGAGCCAAGGATGTGTGGTTCAAACAACTTCCAAAGAACATAGTGGAGAGTGAGCGTCTGTCCATTGGCCGTGCCCAAGATGTGGCTGGGGTCCCCGTCCTGACCCTGACACTTCTCTGACTCGAGGTCGTCAGGGCAGTGGGGAGGGTCTCCTGGGCCGGACACCTCCCCCACCCCCATCTCAGGGGCTGGACAGGCTCCCCAGATGCAGGAGAAGGCTGCTCTCCACAGCCGACAGCCCTGGCAGCCGGGCAGACCCCACTGGCCTCTCACCCCCAGGTATGAGCAACCCCGAGGTCGTCAGCAGCCTGGAGCGCGGCTATCGCATGCCCCGGCCCGACTCGTGCCCTCCAGAGCTGTACCAGGGGGTCATCGCCCAGTGCTGGCGGAGCCGGCCCCAGGAGCGACCCACCTTTGAGTTCCTGCAATCGGTGCTGGAGGATTTCCACACGGCCACGGAGCAGCAGTACGAGCCACAGCCCTAGGGCAGCCGGCAGGGGGGAAACTGGCCGGCCACATGCCCTGGGCACAAGTGGGAAGGTGGCCCCTACCCACTGCCCTGGGGGCCAGCACTGCCCGCTGCAACCAGGCACACTTGGTGGGGACACTCCCTCCAATATCCCCAGGGCTGGCCCGCAGGTGACCCCACAGTGGCTGTGCCCTCCCCTGGCCAGTGCCCCAGCACTTGGGGACTTTGCTGTAATAAAGTGACCTTACCGGTGTCCTTACTGGACGCTCCGACGGCGATGGTGCTGCTCCCCAGGAAACCGGGCTCTGGCCTGAGGGCCCTGGGTGCCAGGAGGCTGCTGGTGGCGGTCAGCAGGTGGCGCCCTTGCCCCAGCAACCTGCAGCCCCAGAGGTGACCCTGGTCAGCCCTGATTACCCCTCCCACCAGTGGAGAACAGCTCATCAGCGCCCCCATGTGGGCATGGGGCAGGAGGGGGGAGCCAAACCAAGTCTCACACAGTCCCTCCTAAGGGGGTGCCTGTGGGACAGCCCCCGACCGACCGCAGAGGGTGCCCGTCAGAATGTGGGTGACCTTGTACTGGGGGGGCCTCACGTGGCAGAGGGCAGGACCCCACCCACCCCCACACACACTCCAGGGCAGGGTGCAGGGTGCAGGCATAGGCAGGCAGGGGTGCTGACCGCCCCCCCACACACACACACCAGGCAAGTGGACTCCAGGGCGTCCCAGGTCTCCTGGTCACACGCCCTGGGTGACCCACCCTCTCATCACTCCTGCTCTCGCGAGTGTACGCGAGTGTCTCCCTCGACTGCCTGCAGTGAGGAAATAAGGCTCGGTGGGTGAGGTCCTGCCCAAGCCCCAAAGTTGGGGTGCAAAGAGGCTGGTGCCCAGGCTGCAGGGGAGGAGGGTCCCTCCCTACACCTGCAACCCCGCAGGCTTTTGGGGGACCTGGGGTGCACCCACAGGCGCTGGCCTTGCACAACACTGGCCCCTGGCATCCCCCGAGCCCTCCAGGCGTGTTCCCTGAGCACAGAGCCAGGAGTCAGCCCTGAGCACCGTGGAGTGGCCCAAAACTAGCCTCAGCTCACGGCACCCCCAGAAGCTGCAGGGGCGCGAGCAGGGGGCCGACTGCAGAGCCGGTCAGTGCTGCAGGGACTGTCCATACCCAGGAGAAGGGGTGCACGACTTCTCTGCTCTAGCCCAGGGCCCACAGCCTGGAGATTCGGGCCCCGCCCACTCCCAACCTGGGCCATGGGACGCTGAACAGACGGACAGAAGGATGGATGGATGGACAGAGCTGCCTCTGTGGGGAGAGGGAGATGGACAGGCCGGAAACTGAAGTTCCCTGCAGCACCCCCTTCTGGCCTTGACGTGCACCCACTCAACTCGGGGCTCTGAGTCAGACATGGAGGGGACACACAGCAGAATGGCCCCTGGAGAGGGGGACAGAGAGGGACCCTCCCTCCCTCCCTCTCTCCCTCTCTTCCTCCCTCCCTCCCTCCCTCCCTCTCTTCCTTCCTTCCTTCCTTCCTTCCTTCCTCCCTCCCTCCCTCCCTCCCTCCTTCTCTCCCTCCCCCTCTCCCTCCTTCCCTCCCTCCCTCCATCTCTGTCCCCAAGTGCCACCTTGGTCCGGACTTCATGTGCCCTCACCGGCACACTGACCACCCCGGGAGGGGGCAGCTCACTGGGGCAGCTGGGTGAGGGGTGAGGGTGCAAGTGACCTTCCTCTTCTCGTGGCAGTACAAGCAGGGACATCCAGTACCCCCAGCCCTGGGTGGGACCATGAGGAAACAAAGTCCCGAGATCAGCAGTGACATGCAGGTGGCGGGGCTGGCCCTGGGCATGTGTGGGGGTGAGGGGTCCCTTCTCCAGCCGTGGGTGAGTGACCGTCTCTGGCCCTGCTTCGGCCCTGCGCACGGAGAGCTTGTTTCCTTTTCCTGGGGCGCTGGAGGGGGAGGATCCCTCTTCCCATCCACGGGATGGGGAGAGGCCACCCTGAGTCACATCTCATGGGCACGTGCCTGCCTCTGGGCCTCGGTTTCCCCTCACAGATGTCCCCAACCTCTCACGGGTGAGTTGAGAGTGACAGGAAGCTCCGATGTGCCCCGCTCTTAACAGAAGGGCAGGGCCGATGGCCTTCGTCTGCTCGTCCCTCCCTGCGACCCCGCAGGAACCGGCCACCCCAGGCCTGCAGGGGAACCTGGGACTCTGGGGTCTTTCTCCATCAGCTCCTGGAAGTGCGAGGGCATTTCGGGGACAGCCGAGCTCCGGATGTTCTCAGAACTGTGGTCAGTGTCCCAAGACAAGGTCCCAGAGGGCAGAACAGCCTGGCCAGCAGCCATCACGCAGAGACGAGGCTCTCGGAGTCCTCCAGCTTGGGTCCTCTCAGGGGGCTGCCAGGCCTGGACCAGCTCGGCCTCTGGGACAGCCCCAGCCTTGCTCTTGGGTGCCCGCCTGCCCATGCCTATACCCAAGGCCCACGCCTGCCCAGAGCTGAGCCCGGGGTCTCAGCGGGGATACGGCAGTTCAGGGAACCCCCATGGCAGGGCAGCAGGACGGGGGCCAGGCTGGGCATCAGAGTGGGGCTTTCGGGGCGTCCTGTGGGTCAGTGTGGGCCTGGCGGGTGTCAGGCTGGACACGGGAACTGCCTCTGTCTCAGCCAAGAACGCAGAGCTCTGGCAGTGGTGCTCCCCACACAGAATTGGGGTGCTCATGCAGGGTTTGGAGACGGTAGTGGGGTCCCAGGGAGCTGTGGGCGTGGGTGGAAGCTGTGGGCATGGGTGAGGATGCAGGGGTGAGACCTGCAGATGGGGGTGAGGGTACAGGGTGGGGGCTGTAGGGGTGGGTGAGGGTACAGGATGGGGGCTGCAGGTGGTGGTGAGGGTGCGGGGGTGGGGGCTGCGGGCAGGAATGAGGGTGCAGGGGTGAGGGCTGTGAGCAGGAGTGAGGGTGCGGGGGTGGGGGCTGCGGGCAGGACTGAGGGTTCAGGGGTGCAGAGAGCTATGGGCGGGGCCTGGAGCAGCTCTGACTGACCCTGCGTGCGTGCAGGAAGGAGAGTCCAGGCAGCCCCCTGGGTTCCGGGGCCGCGCCCTCGCCCCATCCAGGCTGCCTCGTTGGTGGTCCGGGCCCACCGCAGGCCTGTCTCCCTGTGATAACTTTGGGGTCAGGGGTCAGCCTGGGGCCAGCAGCTGGTCAGGCCTCTGGGACCTTGAGCTCCCGCAGCGGGAGGTACCGTGTGGCTCGGCAGGGCGAGCACCACAGGGCTCTGGGGACAGGCGGCCGGATGCTCTCCCACTGAACTCCCCAGCTTCAGGGCCACCTCTTGCCGTCTCCCTGCCCACCTTTGCACCCCGAGGACACTGGGACCCGCAGTCGCCTTTTCCGCCCTGCTGAGGACCTGGCTGAGGGCGCCTGGGTCCAAACCACCCCTCCCACTGTGGCTCTGACCCCTGGAGCCTGTCCCTGCTCTGCCCTGGGCGGCTGCACAGCACTGGAGCCCACCCTGCTCTGGGTGCGGCCGGCCGGGGGCGCTCATGCAGGCAGCAGTGCTGTGAGTGTTGGTGCACCCTCAGAGACCCCCAGGCCACAGTCCAGCAGGAGCATGGGGGTGGGGGCTGGAGGACAAGGGGGCACTAGCTCCAATGCACCCCCAACCTGGGTCAGGAGGAGACAGCCGGAAGCGGGCAGCCGGCACCCACCAGAGACAGTAGTGGGCAGGGGGCCCGAGCAGGCCAAGGACCAGCCACTCCTGAGTGTGGTGCCCATAGCCCCCCTCCCCTCCCCTCCGGGGGTCCACGTGTTCCCTTGGGCCTCCCCTTAGGGCAAGTGAGGCTCCTGACAGGCACCGGCACCCTGGGGTGCAGCTCACAGGGCGGGGGCGGGAGGGGGGAGCAGCTATTCCTGCACACAGGCCTGAGAAGTTCTGTCCGGACCGCTCTGTCACCGTCTGTCTCTCTCACACACTCACTCACGCACTCACAGTCACTCACACGCTCACAGTCACTCACACACTCAATCACTCACACTCAGTCACTCAGACACACACCCACAGTCATTCACACACTCATAGTCACTCAAACACTCACACGCTCATAGTCGCTCACACACTCTCATTCATACACTCACACACTCACATATGCACATGCACGTTCATTCACACTCACACACATACGGCACTTGCAATCACTTTACGTTCACACATTCACACACTCATATACTGAACACTCACACACTCAGACAACACATGCACACCTCTGACACACACAGTCACACACGCACTTTGACACACACACACACACATGCTCACACACTCACAAGTCACACATACTCATACACACATTCATACATTCACATGCTCACTTATACACACATTCACTCACACGCACACACAGCCACACTCACATTCACACACAAGCACTCATACACTCACTTATACACACATTCATACACACTCACACAGTCAGAAAACACATTCACACACTGACACACAATCCCACACACTCACTGTGACACACATTTACACATGCTCACACACTTATTCTGATGCACACTCATTGACACTCACACTCATGCTGACTCTCTGACACACTCACACTCTGACACACATTCACTGACACACAGACTTTCATTCTGACACACACACTCACTCTGACACGCTCACACTATTACTCAAGCGCTCACATGCAGCCTCTCCCCTGCTTCTCCTCAGGACTAAGTGGTCCATGTCCACTCCTGGCCAGGAGAGCGCCAGCCCTCTCAAGGACACTTGTGACCCTGGCAGAGGCCGACTGTGCGGGCCTACCGGGCATCTCCTCAGACCGGCCATGGGCAGCACAGGCTCTTCCTCCTTCCCCTCTGGGCCCTTCTCTCGGGCCCCCTCATGGAGACCCCCCACGCCTAGTCATATGGGGCCCCGGAGGGCCGGTGCAGGGTCCCGGGAGGGCGCTGCCGTGGGCAGAGCTCTTCCATAAGGAAGGCGGGGTGCTGGCGAGGTCGGGGTCCCCAGGCCCCACCTCTGGG